ACTATTCCAATTTGATCGGGCTGGCTGCTTGTTCTCGGGGCGTATCCACATACACAGGGACGCGCACATGTTCGTCAAACTCATCCTCGCGCTATCTACCACGGACGAGGCAAAGCTGGGGTTCGATACCCGGATCCATTGGGAGGATCAAGACCTGTACTTCTCTCCCAAGGTGGGCGAGGCTGTCAAGTACAAAGTCTGCAATGTGAAGCCGTTCCATAGGCATACAATACGGGGGAGAGGGACAACATGCTGGGTCGTTGAGGATCCGGACGACAAGGGCAGCCGACTTCACCTTAAATTCGCCTGGCGAACTCTCGAACGCGTGGCGGAGTCTGTGTTCCTCGAGTACATCAATATCGAGTGTGGTGGCATTCCGGGTGTCAGTGAGCTCCGACGCTGCGAGAACACGGAACAGATTACGAACCTGCGTCACGGTGCTACCTTCAAGACTCGTCAAGGCAAGCTGGTGTCCGACCGTCAATACTACTACATTTTGCAACCTTTCTATGGGCCACCGCTGGAGATGGCACGGTCCGTGCTGCAACTCGTCGAAGCTTTTCGCGATATTATTGCAGGTATGGCTTCTAGGCAGTTCCTATCAGTTACTTTCTGACGACACTCCAGCCCAACGCAACCTTGCTCTGCGTGGTATCGTGCATCGTGACATCAGCACGCGCAACATGCTACTCAATGAAAGACTCGATGCGGGGGTAGGCACGCGGGGAATTCTGATTGATTTCGACATGGCCAAGTTTATTGATAGGACGACGAGCGGGGAGAGTACCGATGTCCGGACGGCGAGTTGTCAAGGTACACATTGGACCGAACGCATGCTGATGCTTACACCAGGGTACTCGTCTGTTCCAGTCTATCAAGGTACTGCTGGGTCTCGGTAAGCACGACTATCTGGACGATCTGGAGTCCAGTTTCTACGGCCTGTGCTGGTTCGCGTTCACGCTCGAGCGCCCTTGCGTTCCTCGCGCGTCGATACCCGTTACATTGAAGAATTGGGATTCGCCGATATTACAGTTGGCAGCAGACGCAAAAAGGAGCTTTATCCATAACCCATCGATGGTCGCAGACCTCATTGCACCGACGATGAGTCCGTGTCTGGCAGGATTGCTCCTGCGGCTCCAGACATTCTTCAGGGAGACTGCGCTTCCCAGGATCGCCGCGTACCAGGCTCAGCAGGATGAAGAAGCAAGAAAAAAGAAAGAGAAACTTACGGCAACATTGAAAAGGCTTGAGCGACTAGAAGGTACCTGGGTGTCGGAGAAACCACGTAATGTTCCAGACCCGTTGGACAGTGAGTTTCCTTCACCTTGGTGCCGTGAATGTTTTGTTCACTAAGAGAATCCAGCATCGGCAGAACAGATGGAGAAACATTTCCAAGAAGTCCTTAAGCATGTGGATAATGTCATTACATTGCTCAAGGAGGACCCTGAGGAGGATGCGATAGCAAGCGTTATGAGCGCACCTAGCGGCATCGACGAACATGAGCGCCGCATCCCTGTCTGGGAAAATGCCTACTCTTCCGAGTCGGACGCCCATTCCTCGTCGTCGGGGATGACCCTGCCGTTGCCACCAATGCAGGAAATTCACGTGCTGCTACCCCCGCTTCATCAAGTGCAAAAGAAAGTAAGCAAGAAACTGCTCCTGGATCATGTGTCGATGCCGCCGAAGCCATCGAAAAAGGAGAAGGCGAGGAGGGAGTCGTCCAGTACTCAGTCCTCAGGCAGCCAGAAGCGGGTTCGGGAACTCGAGGACAACCTCCAGCGCCGTGATCTGGGAGACGCTAGACGGAGCTCGAAGAGGTACAAGAACAAGAGGGGTTTCCGGGATTCGAGTCCGAAATGATTGCTGCTCGACGTTTGCCGTCTACTAGTAGTTCTATCCCGTTTTGTCGTATCGTTTTGCTTGCTTTGCTTTGCTGCGCTGCTCTCGTCGTCGGAACACTTGCAAGTATCTATTGGTGCAATATATTTGATTTGAGTGTCCTCGTTTGCATACCTTGACGGGAGAAGTTGTAAAAGGGATATATTTCAGAGGGGCGTGTACAGTATTCTTGCGAGGCTGGCATGGCAGAGACTGGGCACCTGGCCCGCCATCACACTACAAGAAATGCTAAGCCTGTATATTAACCTACACCGGCCACATGTACATGCACAAAGGGAAGAGGTCTAGACAAGGGCTGATTACACAGATGCAATAAGTTAACCATGCCCAAAGCGTTTACCCCCAGACTTATCATCGTTCACAGCGCTACACCGCGGGCCTGCCTTACCAACGTGGGCGCGTACAGCGCAGGTATCCGGAGGCCCTCCTCGCCGGCACCTCCCCCCAGGCAGAAGCGCTATAGCGCTAGCTGTGACTGTGTCTGGGACATGTGGTAGGCCCGGAGTCAAGGAACTACGGGGACGCTGGGCTGACGGCGCGCCGGCGGTTTCGCGCAATGGAGGCATGCACCTGACCGGGAACCCGCGCAAGGAGTGCAGGCCGTGGTTGCCCTCCCTGGGGGTTGATGAGCGTCTTTTGCGGGTCACGCCGACTCCCCCGCATCGAGATGGAGCGGTCGCTCTCGCGAGATCTACGGTGCAGATATCCAGGCGTGTTAGTTGACAGGAGGGAGCGTTCGCTTCTTGACGAAGGTCTGCACAATGCAGGAATATGTCAAAAGCCTTGTGTTCGAGGGATGCTCGAGGACGGGAGGGGGTGGCTGCTGAGACGGTACGGCCGGCCTTCTCGTCTTTCCAGCAACCTGTGCTACGTTTACAGACGGAGGAAGGCAATGACAGGACAGTCCGGACCACTGTACATGTCGTTCTCCGCGGCCGATGCTGTAGTGCAGTCTAGTGAGAGTGCCCATGATGAATACCCGGAGCGGTACATATCTCTTTGGCTCCTTTCTGTCTGGCGGTCAATCGTAATGCATGCTCGGCTGTCCTGATACCTTGATAGCACCGTTCGATATTGAATGAATAGGGAACTTGGTCTGTGCACATCTATGTATGCATTTGAAGGCCCTTAGTGTTCATGTACAAGCAGGGATATTGGATATTGATACTGTGTCACCTTCCGCCTTGCGTGCATCGCACTGCTTAGGTCGCGAGTGAGCCGGTGCCACTAATTCTTCCCCGAGCAGGGGGGGCTAAATGTGGGAGCTAGAGAGCAGTGGCGACAGAGCACTTCAACGGGGTTGACTTGCTTGGCTTCCAAGTATGAACGTACATATGGATTCATTCAGGTTTGTTGGGCGCTTTTCCGATTTTCATTGCCGGATATATCACTGGTGAATCGGAGACTGTCGGGCCAGCAGTCCCCTCGCCCTATTTGTCGCGATTTTCCTACGGAGACGCCCTTCGGTGAATTTCGCGCTATGACAACGCGCGGTACATTTGGATGGCAATCCGCATACATACAACGCCCGCAGCATCACCTCGAGGTGATCTTCCCTCGAAGTGTCCGATGATTCCAGATTCGGAGGGATGCTCGTGCCGGATGTCCCGTACAAGGAGAGGTATGCCATAGCCCCCGCGCCGCATAAGCTTCAGCGCGGGCGCTATGGCATGCACCTCGAAGTTGGGCGCATCGGAGGAGGATATACATACCACCCATTTGATGGGCATGTTTCCAGACTTCTGCGGAAGTAGTTGACGGTGTTCCTAGGATCCGGAGTGGTGGAGGGCGTTCAGCTTGTCGGGCAGAGCGAACCCATCCTGGGACATGGGCAGACAAGCTCAGGGTCAGCAGGTCGTTCAACCCTGAGCCTGAACGTTCCTTTGGATAGGAGGCACAAGTCCCGCGGCCGCCCTGAGGCTGATAGCTCGAGCGCTTACCGGGTCATATCGTGGTTTATCGCGTCGAGCATATATGAGGAGTGACGTAGGTGATGATATGCATGCGGCGGGGGCGGCGAACGTCGGACGGGCGCTCAGGTTGATAACTCGGGAGGACTGACCACGGTCATGTGAGCTTTTACACGCCCAATGCGTCGTAAGGTTCTCGTGAGGTCGCAGCCGAGGTCTCGCGTCGACCTTGCTTCGGAAGGCCCGGTAGACCCCGACGTGACCTTGTTTCGGCATTTCTGCCCAGAGATGTGTGCGCCATCATTTGAGATGTCAGCGCTAAGGTCAGAGCGGCGTCTTCTTGAGACTTAGCGAGGGACATCTGAGCAAGACCGCCCTGATACCGAGTTGACATCCTCTTTGGGCTTTACTGGACATTAGCTCATAACCTCAGGTAGAGATGATACCTTGCGCTGCATATAAAGGCTGTACCTTGGACTACAGGATGACTTGAGGCCTCGAAGTATTTTAGGTATTAATAATATTGATTAGAGCAACCGGAACAGATATAGTACTACGGCGTAAGGAGTGCTACACAAGTCCCCACTATCTGTTTGTGGGACTTAGAGAAATATCAAGGACGGGACGTGTCTGACGCGAACTGAATTCGAGCGGAGATTGAACTCGAGCGACTTCACCCGTGGTTCAAGTCGTTCCACTTCTTCAACTCCGTCTTTCACTCTCACTCGTACTCTCACTCTCACTCCGATTTCCCGCTCCTTGTCGCTGACTCGCTGCCTGCGTGACAGAGCTCTGGCTGCGACGTCCAACACTCATTGCTAACTGGTAAGTGATGAGGAACTTTCCCCGACATGTCACTCACATTCATACAGGAACACTCAGAAGGATATTTTATTCACTCAAACATTGAGCTTTGGTCGGTGGAGTGCATCTGGGGTCAGGGTGAATTGGGTATGTGTATTGTAATATCATTATGGTCTATGCTCATGATCACGTCCAGAATGTGCTGTTTCATTGTGGCAGGCGGGCTCTAATAGGTGTGACTGCGACAGGCAGTCTGGTATTTACAAGATTATATGTACTGTATATACACAGTGTCTGTAGATAGCATTGCAATATATGCTTCATTTTCTTATTCATATGCAAGGAGCAATAAAATCAAGCAGCTGTATGAAATGTGAAAGCCCGCTGGCCAGAAAACCTGCTTTCTCGTTGTCCAGCCCGGATGTCAGCTTGATAACCGACTCCGACCTTGACTCGACATACGAGTCAAGTAGAGGCCAAGTTGATCCTCGGTTTTTATATCGAGTCGA